GATTTTAAGTATTCAGACATTAAAAACAAACGAGAAAAAGGAGGCAAATGTCAAAACAAAGTTTCAAATTTTTTAGATGCTTTAGTGATTATAAAAATCCCAAATATAGTTGAGCCGCACGTTTCTCCACAAAGCTTTGAGAAAAGGTAGCAAATTTTTAATTTCTCTGCAGGAGCCACTGAACGTTTGCTTTTATGCATCACATGGGAATAAAATTCTCAAAAGAGAAAAAGAACAAGATTTTTTTTTTCCTCATTATTTCAGAGTGCTTTAAGTTCATTTCAGAAAGCCATTGTCTTTGAAGTTTGGGGAATAAGGGAATGGCAGACTGCTTCCATGCATGGTCTTATTGTTGTGGAAATCTACCATTTCATCCCCTTTACAACTGAATAAATAACTGTATCAATTTGAAATCCTTCACAACCTGCAATTCTTGGGGGCATCCTAAGACTGTATACTGTCTGATCTACTTAGTTTGCAATTCAATCACAAATACTGCACAGTATAAAAATCAAAATATAGTAAAATAAACATGTACTGTCTTCAAGCATGATCAGCCTAAGAATTTTGAAGGAGGAGTTAAATTAAGGAAGGAGGCTTTGTTAATCACTAACTCAGGCATATGTTATCTAATATGGATCATAAAAAATACTGGACAAACTCACTGCCCAATATCAAATCAACTGCCCACTTTCCATGATGCCATAGTGTCATCAGAATTTCAAAGAAGCAACCTGTTATCTGGAGGAAGGAAAAAAAACAACAACAACAAAAAACCCCCAACCAATTAGATGATTTAAAATAACTTACTGCTTACACACTGTGAGCTGGTGACCAAACAATGCAGTTTTGCAACCCAACTCCATCATGCAAATTATCAGAAGAAAGAATTAGTAGGATCTTACACATTCTTCATCACAGAAGTGTTTTATAAACTCCGTTTAGGGTGATTACCAGAGATGCTCAGCTGCACAACAACTTCACTTGCCTCTTGTTTTCACCATTAAACTCCTGAGAATTGGGCAAATAAAAGAATAAACTCAAATCTTCCCTATTTTCTCCCAGACTGTAAGAAAAGGTGATATCTCACTTAACTCTGACCTCTCTTCCTGGCCAAGTGTTTTCCACGAGGGTACAACTTTATGCCAGGTGGGAACACTTGGCCCATTATGGGCCTTTCTGCTAGAGCCCTGAGCACAGCACCACAGGTGTCCTCCATCAGCAGCAGCATGGGGTCCTGCTGAAGGGGACACACACACTTAACATGGATTGCTCAGCAATTGCTCAGCTGATGGAAAATGGAGACTGGGTCAAAATTTAAAGTGCTATGCTGAGATGTACCAAGTTTTGTTCACACTTTGTGGCAACTGAATGATGCCAGGAGGAACAATTAAGCCTTCCTGTGGCCATCTTAACATCTTTTGGAAGGCACTCCAGGTTGCAGCTGTGTGGTGAGAGCCATGCTGGGGCTCAGTAGCCACTCCTCCCTTGCCTCAGTCAGGTAGCAGCTTGCTGGTGCCAGCACACCCACCACCCAAATCCTCTCTGACAACAAGGCTTGCTCAAGCAAGGCTGGAGGTGTTGGGAATGCACTGCAGGACACTGCAGTGCAGCTGTGGAAGTGTGTGGCACCTTGGGTGATAGAGGGGCCATCACCTTGCAAGCCATCCGCTGTCCCTGCAGCTGTTGTAACCTGATGCTGCTTGAGTATCTGCATTTTTCTGCTGTAGGAAAGTCATGTACACAAATCAAAGTAGTGTTAGTGGAGAAGCCATACAGATAGGGCCATACACAGGGACTATTCCCTCTATTTCCTTCCACCAATACTGCACCTGTTAATACTAAAAGCCCAATGGGCTCTCCAATCCCACTGCTGGAAACCGGCAGTTGCATCTAAGGGCTTTTCCAGGTGCCTGTTTTCCTGCACAACCCGTCAGTGTGTGTCAGAAGTGCCTTACACAGCATACGGGTGTGCTATGGGCCACTTCAGCACTTACCCTTTGGTTTTCTGGCAGCTGCAGCTATTCTAGGGGAACTGGCTGAAGTCTTCCACCAAGGATGCTGTTCCTGATGTTTCAACAAAACGTATTTCATTGTGATTGAGTAATTTGGTCATTAAGATCGTTGATCCCCAGATTTTGTGAGTTAAGCATGTTGTTTTAACTAGATCTTGAAAAAAAAAAAAAAAAAAAAAAAAAGAGAGCAATTTAGCATCCTGAATATTTTAGCCCATTTGATGGACTTGGTATTTCTGCTGTACATAGACTGTTAGTTCTCTGTTTTGGGCTATAGCAAAACTCAACAAGGCCCTTCACCAAAAGATCAGACTGTAAATATAATTGCTTGTTTGCCAACTGTCGCTTCATCTACCAAAATGCTACACAGTGTTCCTGACCAGAAAGGGACGTACCCATCAGCAGCCCAACACTGTGACTGCAGATGCTGGAGGAAATGAGAGGATGAGCTGAGACGATGGCCAGGCTCAGGGGCTTTGCTGGTTATTGTTGCCACTGTTAAACACAGAACCACTGGGCTAGGCAGACTCCTTATCTGATCCATAGGACAGTGACTATGTTTTCAATTGTAGGTTATTTGTAACTAATTAGATGTGAGCGTTTATAAAGATACCATGTGCCACCATGGAGCCTTGGTGGCAGATACTCTTCCATTTGCTGCTTGCACAGCTCCTTGCAGGCTAGGGCCCAGCTATGGGACTTGTGGTTTGTAGCACAATATTTATATTTCTGATTTCCAAATGTAACCCTGATGGCTTGACTTAAAAAGGAACTTAGTCACTTATCTGAAGTGCGAGGTTCCTCTTTCATGAAATTAAATCTGGATGCTGTGGAAGTAACACAAGAGTACAAAACTGATGGGTTTGGTAGTTCATGTTTACAGCACACCAGTATTTTTGAAATCTACCTTAAAATGATGAGTGGGTTCCTATAAACACCCTGCTGGTAAATAATTAAACAGAAGTGTGGAGAGAAAAGAAAAAAAAAAAAAACAAAAAACCACCACCACCAACAACAACAAAAAACCCACCAAACCACAACAATGATCAATATGCATTTCTTTTGTAACTTGATTAAGTATTTGAGGATAATAATTTAAAGCTCTAATGATTACCTTTTGCTGTTACCGAATGATCACTTCCTGATGAGCCAAAACAGCAACCAGACCTCTAAGCAGATTTCAGTAGAAGTATAGAAGCTTTTAAAGTCTGTGGTGTCAAAGTAAATTAAAGTGGCCCTAAGTAGTTCTTAGTACAACTGACCACTGTGATTTCCACAGGGCAATTATGGTTTACTGTGTCAATCATCTAGCAGGCATTAATATAAAGCAGAACAACTCTGAATAAATTTGTTATGGACTGTCATGTCAAGAACCCAAATGCTAACCTGCAGTGGCCTTGATATTATTAAAATGACTAAGGGTCAGATTTCAATTAATCTACAGATTTAACAGTCCTTCACTGTAGTGGATCTTGATACAATTAAGCAATAATAGATGACAGGAAGGATACTTCCTGGCAGTTAATGACCAATGGCAGTATTTGAAGGCCCTTAACCCAGCTGGTCATTAACTGCTCAGAGACAGAACCTGGAGCTCATATTTTCTATTGTAAACCATATATTAAAGAAATAAATCAATTACTGTTCACCCCCTGCCCTCATCCTGTGCAGGCTGATACTACTGGGCTACTGTGGGAGTAATTAATTGTCACAGGAAAAGCCCAGTGTAACCAGTGGGAGAAAGACTGTGGTGCCAAACCTTGCAATCCTGAAGCTCCCTAAGCACACTGAGTCTTAAGGGCTCCGAAGATCCTGGTGCTGCAGACATCGAGCAGAGGTTGTGCTTGGCTGGAGGAAAAAACACCGTAAGTTGATTAATTGGAGCAATATGAAAATATATAGCAGAGGATTGCACTACATGTCAGCCCTTTGTATGAAAATAAAGTTCTGCCACAATGACATGGTGCTTCATCTCTCTTTGACTCTGGGCTGCCTGCTCCCCAGTGCCGCAATTCTGTTCTTCAAATACACAGTATGGCCCTTGCCAACTTGTGTCAAATTGTTGTACGTAAAGTAGAAAAATACAGCTTTTTTGCTGCCTTCTCCTGAAGAGTACACCAGTGTTGCAGTTCAACAGAGTAAGTAGCTGATTGCTTACCAGAAACCAAATCCTTAAAAGTCCATGTCAATATTTACATATTTATTCATTACAATGTGTTGGTCATCAACTTCATTCCATCCACTGTTGACCCTGAAGAATTTCATCACATGGATTCATAGTGCAGAATGTCATTTTTAATCATTTCATGTGAGATGCTCTCTTCTAGGAAGTAAGGATTGTTACCCACTTAGATGTTTCAGGGTGGTTTGTGCAATCGTTGAAACTAGACTGAAATCTGATGTAATGCACAATCAAAATGTTCTGTTACATTATAGTACAGTACACTTCAATGTAATTTATTCTCCTCCTGTGAGAACCGTGACTGATTACAATGTCAAAAGCCAATCATAATACATAAATGGTAGCAGTTTACAGACATGGCAATGTGGCAACTATAGGAGCCTTTGTTGTCACTTTTGGTTAGTTTAATGTTATATGTGGGGAAAATGGGAAGGCAAAGAAAGAAGAAACATGAGAACTGTTTTGTCTCATTTCAGCTCTATAAAAATCCTACTGAGATTATGTTGCTACCACAACAGCACTTCCTGCTTGCAAAACCAATGGTACACATTGAAATATTATCAAATTAGGTTGGTTATCATGCTTGTCTTTTACAGCATATGGCATTAATGGATTTCAGAGGCCATTAAATGCCTTTGTAGAATGGAAAGGCATGTGGAAAACCTAAGAGCTGAAAGATTTGGTCACTACATTTAAAGGAGGCCAGCTGACTGGCCTGTCCATCAGCTCCTTGTGGTCAATCATTATTGCTAACGTCAAAAGAATAATAAAGAATACACAGAAGAGGTCACACACACATCTCATAAAACAAAATTTATCTTTAATTTGTAAGTGTCAACAGCAGTACAAAAGATGGAGTGATGGTGAATAGATTAAGGGTAGAGAGGACAGTCTTGAGGTAAATGAGCATAAATAGGCAGTCTTATAGACACTCCCCTGAGGGGTCTAAACCCCTATCATGGCATATACTGTATCACCCAAAGATGACATGTTTAACATATCAGGAAAGCACCTTGTGCAAAAAAAAAAAAAAAAAAAATCCCCCCCACCCGAAACATGTAGGTAAGGTGCCAATGTACACCAGAACATACTGTATATGGACAGTGTCTTTCAATTTTGTCTTTTCCATTAATAACTGAGGCAGAGGAGGAGAAGACTCTTAAAAGTACCACTGAAAGATTATTTAATATTTAATTTACCTCACGTCAATACTGCACAACAAAATCCAAGAAGTCTGTTTATGCAATGAAGCAGAGCTAAGAATAACTATTCTTTTTTTAAAACTGAGAACAGATTTTTTTTTTTACTCAGTATCCTTAGCAAACTTTTTCCTTTGTCTTTTTTTTTTTTTTTTTTTTTTTCAACTGTATCAAGAGGAGAGTGTGAGATGTGATGGCAACCTTTAAGTTCATTTAAAAACTTTACACTGGACTGTACAAGATTTTTTTTTTTTTTTTTGATAAACTATTTACATTTTCAGACTTTAAAACATATTCAAAGCAGCAATAGACACTAGTTTTTCCTCTACACGCCCAAATAATTACCGGCCATGGGCCCAGGTAGGTACCTGCATTGTATATAGAATTTCTACAAAGAAAACCTGCCTGTTAAATTAGCCAGTGGGTGTCCAACAAGCAGCCCCCGCCATTGAGAGCTGCACCCACATTGTTGCTATAGGAATCAAAGCATAGTACCTAGACAAGAGAGTTTCAGTTGTCCCAACAGCTCTACACAAACTTTACAATTTGAAACAGCAGCTAGCATGTCAGTCCAGCATGTCAGTGAATTGTGCTGATTAAATTAACATAGAGTACAATCTCACAATATACATCACAAACAAATTACAATGTCAGGAAATAAGAGTTACAGTAAGATAAGTTATGTAGTAACAGCTTATAAGCTTGTCTTAATGTAATAAAAAAATTTGTACATGGGAAATACAATAATGAATGAACATAAATGCTAAGCATTCTATTTTGCTACAAGCTGAAGAAGGGTACAAAAAAAAACCAACATTGCTTTCTAGAAAGCAAAACACAAATGACAAAGGAAGACAAACGGAGAATGCACACTAGCAGGTCTGCAATGTGCAGCATACAAACAGTTAAATATTTGCACATTCCCCATAATCCAAGAGCACCAAGGACCTCACTTGTGGTTTTTAGAAAGCGGAAATTACAAAGCAAGCCATGTCACTAAGTTGCTTTATAGCTTTCATATTGCCATAAATATCAATTTGATAAGTTTTCCTTTAGCCCAGTTCACCCTACCCCACCCCTTTTTACCCAGCGTGTGAAATCTCAGAATACTTCTTTGTCACCATTTCCAGCAAATCTGATATTTAAAAAAGGGCAATGGATTAAAACGAAATATATTTGCATATAGCTATATCTTATTTTCTTTTTCCTTCTTAGTAGGACATTACAGCATATCAAAAATGTAGTTTGATCTGAGAAAAATCACAGATATTAATGGGTCATATAAAAAAAGCTTGGGGGAAGTTGTTTTTTAAAGCAAAAGAGTAAGTGTTTTGTAAAAGATCAGATGAGGTCATATAATATTATTCTTTTAAAAGAACATGCTTAAGTGCCAACTTGAATCTTAAAAAAGCATGCAAAACACCTAGGGTCCAAGCCCATTCATCAACGTCTCATAAAAACATGAAGAACTCTATCATACATTCTGCTGGCTGCATCTCCAGTGCAGTTGTTCACACTGTGGCCCTGTTCAGCAAAGATTGCCCTACTTAACGCCAACGCTCCACTGGTCCTCGTGACCACCACAGAAGTACTAACATGCTTAAAATTAAGCAAGTAGATAAGTGTTTTGCTGAGGGAGGGTGGAGGTGTTAATCTTGTTGTATGTTTTGCTAGGAGATGATTTTTGAAATGCCACGCCTTTGGTATGACCAAAAAATGAAACCAGAAAGCCAACCCAGTGAGAGGACCGCGGTTCAGGTTGCATTGGGCGGAGGTTGTGTTTATGCTCAAAGCAGTAGCTGTCCTCAGCTGACTGCTGCATACGTTGCAATGCCGGTTTGTTTTCCCAACCCCGAGCAGTCCCGTCCTTTGCCCTCCCCCTGTCTTGTGCTGCACCTGAGTACACTGATTTAGGAGCACATTGTGATCCCGTGTATTCCCAGCAAGCAGTTTCATGAACTAAATGGTGACACCCAAGCACACGTATCCACCAGAACTAGGCTATTTCAGCAGTCATACCTCCAGGTAAACCTGAACCCAGTTTCACGGAATAGGAAGTGAACTATACTAGCTCATATTAGACGGTTTCAGGAGTGTTCTTCTCTTGAAAACAAGTATTTAAAATTTTTCCAAAAAGAAAATATACTGTATTCGTACTAATTAAATAAGCTGTTCATTTGTGGAGAAAATAGTATTACTGTATATGTGTATTTGTACAGTGTACAAATACACTGTATTTGTGTATTACCTGAATGGAGTTGTTATTTTTTCCAGTCAGAGTTATTAAGAGGAACTTAAACACAACATTTAAAGAACAATTCTGAAAGTCCTGTTTGTGTTTTGTGTGAACTTTTTCCCCTGACATTGCAGCCTAATGTAACAATAGTGTGATTTACTTAATGTAGAAAATAAAGATTTGATATTACTAAGTCTTGATTGCATTGCAAGGGCCATCTTATATTCACAACAATCTCTCCAGGGATATGCTTTTGACTTCCAAATGCCATTCTTGTTAAGAACTAAAACATTTAATCAGTTTTACTTGGATTCAGAAAAAAAAAAATAGTGTTTCCTATTAGCTGTATCTGCAATTTTGTGTGTTTCATGTATCAACTTTCTAAAACAAGAAGAAAGTATTCTGTGTTTGTGGGATATACTACCAAAAATCAGTGAGAGCACAAGTGAGGCATCTTGCTGTCCCAGCTACAGGTCCACAATACTGCGCTCACACTGCGGGTGTAAATTCAGCATCTACATGAGGTACAGTGACTTGTCAGCATTTAATATGGACCAACATACACTGATATAGAACAAAAGTAAATACATAACTTATACTTCACTAAGTATCCATGAACAAAAAATAAAATTCTATTTCCTATGTTATATTTACACAATTTAAAAAAAAATCTAAAATGAGATGGTAAATTCATCAAAAACTTTGTTTTGAGCTCCGATTTATAAAGTAAAAAAGTTGTTTTTTATCCTTATGATTGTCCTTCCTTCTACTGACATTTTAGAGCCAATGTCGGCTAATAAATAGAATAAAATGCTCACATGCACAATTCAAATTCAAATATGTTCCTCCCACTTCCCCAGCCAATAAATGCAATTTCTACCAGCTGGCGATTCCTGAACAGCCAGTCATTTTCAAGAATGTGGCTTTAACATAGAGAGCATCAGCACTGAGGCAGGGCTGGAGCTAAAACAAAGTGTTCATACATACATGTATTTTGCATAAATAAATGAAATAACAAGACATAAAAATGACTCAAATCCGGCAACTGTGAGGCAGGCCCACACGAGTCGAAACAGATGACTTTTGTTCATGTAGTTTTCGTACAACAGTTTCACATTAGTCAGAAGTGATAAAAAATACCATTTATATCCAGTGCTTATAACACTTACGAAACAACATCTGTGAGTGTGTGTTTTTTTGTACTACAAGCAAAATCAAGTTTCAGTCCTAAAGAACAGTCCTTTGTTCTCCACAAGCCTGCAGAATATTATTTTGGCATGGTCATAAAATTTAAAAAAATTAACCAACTAATCTAAATGTTTGCCTTTGTGCAAAAAAAAATAATTACATAAAATACAATACTAGCAATACAGCATTCTACCAATGCAACAAAACCAGAAGGAAAAAAAAAAAAAAAAAAAGAGCAAGAGAAAAAAAAGTGACATGGGAGGAGGGAGAAATACTTCTAACATAAGAATTATGTAAGACATTAATAAATAGTCATTTCTTTTAGGAAATAATCGTACCCTCCCCCCAATCTGAGCTGAATGTATTGAAAACAGTTCCAATTCCCAAGCAATTGTGAGAACAAAAAACACTTTCTATCAGTACCTTAGCCAGCTTGAAGAGGGCGCTCACCAGCTAACGACACAGCATTTGCCTTTAAAGTCTCGGCTAGACCGGTTTATTGCTTATTAGACATGGACTCAGAACACATTTAAATAAATATTAAAAATATAGCATTTTGTTCCAAATTACAAAATGGTCAGAGCAGTCTAACCATTGTGTTTCTATGCCATTATCTTTATAAATTGTCCTGTAAATTGAACAGTCTTCTCTGTTTTGGGGGTTGTTCTTGCACATTTAAATATGATCCCTAGAGTGGCAACAATGGCTCTGTCTGCTCTAAGAAGTATTACTGGGGCTCTGAGGAAAATGGCAGCTCCAGATACAGCATCTTATCACTGCACCTCACATGAACTTCTGCATGATAGTACAACAGCCCGACGATGACCGGCATTAGTACTACAGCCCTCTCATTGTCTGGGGTCTAAGCAAAGCCCATTCAGCTCTGTGGGAAGATTCCCTCAGACTTTGGGAGGAGCTGCCCTAGGCTCATTCATACCTCTTAGCCTGAGTCTGAATTTATCATCAATGTGCTGAACATATCCAATTCAAAAGAAAAGCTGAGGGAGTTGAGGAGCTACAGCATAGGTATTCACCAGGCCCATTGGATCTGCATTTTAAATAGAGATATATTTATGAACAGCAGTGGAATGCGAACAGGGGAAAAAATGGCAATTTCTTTTTTCTTTTCCTTCTCCAAACATTAACAAACTCTTTGAATATAACTTTCTTGTGTATTTCCTAGACTTTTCTGTAGCAATTCCTTTGTTTCCAGTAATAATACAAATAAAAACTTTGGGTACACCTTGCCACCAGAGATCCCAAAGAACTTTATAAACATGCATGAAGATCTAGTTCGCACTCCCGCATAAACAATATTCAGTAAATATTTTTGATGCATCATTTTCTCAGCTTTGCAAGCCAGTTATTTTTGTGGCCTTCCCTCCTCCACTAGGAGTCTCACATATAAATCATTGCACAAATACTCAAGATAGCAAACTTCCTTCAGGTGACAACAGGAACGTGATGTATGGAGCCATGATTCACTGCAGGATTCTACAAGCCCTAAAAATTCATCACGGCAGATTCTATATGGATTTTGATTTCATATCTGCCTTTGCTGTCCAGCTAAGTATAGAGGTTTGTAACTATAAACACAAATTTTTAGAGTATTTGTACTGTACGTACATATAAAAATACTCACTTTATTTTGTGTTATATATCACAGAGTGTTTCCAAGTACTCCTTGAACACACACTGTTATGGAAACAATTGAATTTCTCATTCATAATGTCATGTTCGTTTTAGTAGCAGGTGCACTTTTATTTTCACATACCTATGTAATTTGAAGGAGGAGAAAGAGCTCTTTAAAATATCAATAAGGAATTGTAAGTGTAATGCCACCAACAGTACTTTTAAAAATAAATATTAAGTATTTGGACCCTTGACATTCTGGAATGAATAAATTATTTAAGAGAAAATGTGTTAAGACTGAATGCAAGGGTTAAAAGCAAAAGGGTAGAGAATGTAGTCAAAGGTGGCCTCACACTGCTAAGACAGGCCCTTCCATAGCTGGTGATCGCTCTTTTGTGCTTACTTAAAACTTCACACTAATGGCATCAAGAGGCAAAAGCAATTGGGCACATGCACTATGGCAACCAGGTTCACTACTTAAGAATATCCTGTCTCCAGATTCCTGAGTACTTCACCATTTTCTGGAAAAAAAAAATTAGGTTTTTATATATATATTTTTTAAGATGCCAAAGGATTGTCTAAGACTTTACAGTGTCTCCTTTAAGACTCTTTTTTAAATGTTAAGATTCAAAAGTTAAGAAAAGTTTGGCACATCAGAAGTTCAGCTATACATATGGAAAAAAATGGAATTCAGAGACGATTTTTTAAAGATGAGCTATGATGCACAGCTGTGCACACTTGCGGAGTTGTTCTGTTTCACAATATGAAATCTGCAATTTTTGTTTTCTAAAATAATCCAGAATAAAAACACATTCACAACCTGTAGGCTGGCACAGCATACCTGAGTGAGAATGTAAAACCCCCATCTAAAACAGTAACTTAAGCCTTTATCAGCATCCAAAAGGAAAAAGACAAAAGGTAAGACTTGTAAGACAGCTATTGATTCATATAAGTTTTCAAGTCCTGATGTCTGATATTTAATATATGTCTTCATCTAAATTTAAAAAAACAAAAACAACAAAAAACCCAAGTTCATGAAAAATTAGGGAAACAATCTTGTCTCACACGTTAAGAAACATTTAAGACCATTCTGCTGATGTAATTGTAGGAGCCACACATGCATGCAGGCTCTTTAAGAACTTTTTGTTCAAAAAAAATCCAAAAAAAAAAAAAAAAAAAAAAAAAAAAAAGAGTCTGAGTACTTTAATTCTGTGAACACTCCTCAGTTGGCACTGACTGCCTCATGGGCTTCGTTTTCACTACTATAGTCTGATTTCGGATCATCCTCATAGTCCTCATACATTTCAATTTCATCCTCTCCATTTATCATTTCGTTTCCAGCAAGGCTTCCGCTGTCTGTCTTCATCCCGTAAGTGCTCTGAATGACGGGGATGCTGGGCTCAGGACTGGCGGAGGTGCTTGAGCAATCCGATGTCATCTGAGGTGACGGCGTGGTAGTTGCCATGGTAATAGCACCAGGATAGACAACCCCCGTTCCTGTGGTGATTGGAATTTGAGGCTGTTGTCTAGAAGGAAAAGCAAGATGGGAACGTGATTACCTCTGTTTGGAGGAGGGAAGCCCTTTTGCAAGGCCAAATCAAAGCAGGTGATTTCCTGTGAGCACTGCATGCATTCCTCTGAGGTTCTCAGTCTGGTCCTGCATGGTATCTGTTCACCTTAGTTCCCGCCCTCATGTGCAACTGGAGAGTAAATTATTTAGCAACTACCAGAATACGATTATTTCATGTACTTTGTGTGTTTATTCAATCTATACAGCAATGCAGCACTCGGAGAGAGATCTTCAAAATGCTCTAGGCACCTAAGCGATGCCTAACTGCCGCAGTAGACTTCTGGTGTCCAAAATTATCCTCCAAACTCCTGACTAGAACTTTTGTTTTGTGACTGTTTATGGTGGAACTCAAGATTACATGTAGTACCTCAAATGGCATATGGCTGACGAGGTAACATTGTTTGTGTTTCTTTAAGGATGTAATATAAATAGTAAATTTACTATTTAAATGCTAGATTTACTCTTAAATCACTTGGGAATACTTTGGGTATTTTCTTTCTGAATTTTGATTTGTATTTAAAACCAATCATCACAATGCCATTTGCTCTTCAGGTTTTGATGTGCAAGTCTGAGTTTCTGAAGAAAAGTACACTGAAAACAAAAAAAAGAACAAGTGTTCTTTTCTGTGTGGTAATGCACAGTCTGCAGAAACAAAAACCTCCACATATCTGATTTACTTTCACAGTGGAAACACATGGAGAGACACAATTAAGAGTGCACTGTCTCTAATTCTGGAATATTTTGCCTTCTGATGTAGAACTTTGTACCATGTAATATCCTTTGTTTTTGTCTGTGACAATATTAAGCATGCTGGAGCAAAACCACTCTAACTAGAGTTAGGCTGATATCATTGACAGTCAAGCAATTAAATGCAAGCTTGATTGCAGCATGTAATAATTCAACTTTTACAGAAGATACAATGTCTCTTACAACAATGTACATATATTCAACTGCTTCTCTGAGTAAGGCCAGGATGCTGAACTCCTCCTTCGGTCTAGTCTTTATTGGCTATGAATTAATTAAAGATAATTTTTACATTCGGATTAAATAATAACAGATTTACTTACTATATTAAAAGACACTTCCAAATATTCTTATACTAATTTTGGACCATTACCTTTAGTAAAGACAAGAGAAAAAGAGGAGACTGAACTTGTCTGGAGGAAAAGAATCTCCATCATACTTTAGATGTAACAAATTCCAGTACCAGAAATACCCAAGTGCACTGGAAGTTGCTGTTTTACTACTGACTGGTTATTTGACATACATGCCTACCTTAATACTGTATTTCAGAATATTATTAACATTCTTTAGAGCAATACTGACAAGTATTTGAGATTTTTGTACTTTATAATTTTAGCAAGAGAAACAGCGTCCGATGTGTTTGAATAGTCTACTGAATCTGTAACTTCTTGATCGCTGTGCTATTCTATGCCAACATTCAAAAGGAGATAAAAATATGCTTTGCAAAAACCAGTGTTTTATAAATTCTTGATTATTGTCTAAACCAATACACATATCATGTACAGCTTATTTCCAAGATGTCCCTTAAATACTGGATTTTTGTCATTTATTGACCAAACTCCAGGTTTGATAAACATCGCTGAACAGTTACTGGTAAACCAATGAACTTCAAGTTTAGGCACCAATAGAGAGAGTCAAATCATGACCACTCTGTAAGAGAATATTCAAATAGCATTACATACTACCTTCATTGCTGGTACTGCTAGCCTGACTCTTAAAGCCTCTGCACAGCTTGAGAAATTCAAACATCTGTTGTATGAGTATGGTACACCTGGCTAGCAGTGAGCAAAAACATCACAGTAATTCATTTGACACAGTCATTATACTCCTGTTTGCAAATGATGATTTGCAGATGATTTACAAACAGCTAGGGATTTTTCACTAAATTTTCACTTTTTAAATGGTCTGATAAATGTTCTGTGAAAACAATTTTCAGCCAATGCATTTGCTTGCAAGTGATTTGCTGCAAACATCTTTCAATACTTTATCCATAAAATTGAACACCTACTTCACGTGGGAACATTTTGGTTTCAAGATTGCATGTTGTCAGGCATATAAATTATTACTTTTAAAAACCTACAGGTACCTTCTCCACACATTTTTACACCTAGAAATTCTTTGCATCAGTGACTGTTTCCACAAAGCAAAGGAAAAAGAAAGTCACCCATGGTCACAGAAAATTTCTACGTATTTGTTGCCAAGCCATACACACTTAATTCTCTCCAATTTGTCTTTCTAACAGCTGCTAGTACTAACTTTTTCCTGATATTTGTTACAATAAATACATTTGTAAAACAAACAAAGAAAATCCCTATGTGCTCATCAAAGAATATCACAATGATAATGCCAAAAGGCGTTTGGAGAGTTAATTTTTAAAACACTTCTAATAAGAGTTGTAGAACATACTGAAGAAATGACTGAGTACAAGCTGATCTTGTGTTACAGATGACATTGAAGATCAGAAACCTAGTTCTCATACTCCACCATAAAAATTTCTTTTATTATAATAAATAGTCTTTTTACAAGCAGCAAGAAGGGGGGGAAAAATTGTTTGGGACAGACGTATGACGCATCTTGATATAGTTATTAATATTAAGCCCTAAAGGATAGACTGAGCTAAAAAACTCAGACATTCTTTCAAACGTTTAACAAGTGAGCAAAACTGTTTTGCATATCCACATTTCAGTGGGACAGGGTACATTTTTTTTATTTCAAAATATAAAGGGAGCAGGTCATAAAGTATAAAGGGAGTACAATGAAGTAGAATTTACAGAACTGCCTTTTAATTGAGATTGCATTAAATGTACAACAAACAATAGAGTGAATCAAAGTGGAAAAGAACTTGATTGGAATAATAGGAAAGTTAAAGGCTTAATGAATTTGTCATTCACCAATACAACTCTTCTTAACATGTTAGACAAAATTCAAATGTATGGAGGTATACATGCCTCCTGCAGGGTTAGAACTATGAGCTTTAAATTACCTGTTATCTCACCATGGAATTGTAAACATCTGTTAACTGTACCACCTAAATGGGAAGTACCTCAGACTGCAAACCACTAGTGAAAATTTGCTAGCACTTAAACATGAGCACCTACACAGTTCCAGTAACTAGGCACCTAACTCTCCTAACTGAGAGCTACAGTTACAATGCAGCTCAGCTGCATATCCCTACACCGTCCACTAAAGAACACCTTCGGTCTGGTTGAGATTTCCAGAACTCAACAATAGCCTTCTCATATTTGAATAGGAAGGGTCTTTGGACCCTTTAGATTTTTGAGGAATGTTGATGCATGGCTACGTACTCTGGCTTCAAACCACCCCTGTATCCACCATCTCCTCTTTGCCAAGTAAATCCTCAGGTGGCCAATTACCACAGGTCTCCTGCCTCTCTGCTCTGCCAGTATTGCTAACATGTCCAGCCAGTCTGGGACTAAAGATTTGGACCAAAATAGGGAGGTTAATGTAAGAGAGGAGGTAACGTAAAAACTCTCAGATCAATTGACCTGCTTGCAAGATTGTGCCATTAATATTCACACGATTTGCCTAGAGAACATTCCACTTTTCACTTCTGCAAAACTAGCTAAACATTTAAATTGGCAAATTAACATTGTTTTCTGATCCCTTCCCAACTATTTTTCTGACAGCTCTTTAAATGTCTGAAGCAAAATCAAGTGCATTAGCGAAAATGCAATGTGCTACACCCCCTTGAAACTTACACCCCAATAAGGAATGAACAGTAAATCTCACAAAAGTACCCATTGTGCACTTACTTTGACTCCAAGCTACAAGAATATAATATTACAGCTCTATTTAAAACTGTAGTCTAGCAACATTCAGACTACGTGTGTGTACAGTAGTTATAAACACTATAAAGGCTTTATACACATTTATAAACATCATACACTGGCAAAACAAAAAAAAAGTTACTGCTTACATCATTTTGCAGATAAATGTATATATCATACACTTGTATTTAGAGTGACTAAGACTAAAAATGACTGAGTTGAATTATTTTTGTAAGGCAAGGCAACAAAAGACAGACTCAAAATGACTGAATTTATGGCCTATATATGATCCACTTGTTTGTTTACATTTATTTATGTATTACAAAAATTAGTACTGAAGATAAATTGCAAATCACTTGACGTCTGTTTAGGGATTACCTTCTACTGAAGTCATCATTCACAGCATCCCATTAATAATTACTTGGAAGACATAGCTGTCTTCAGATTGAATATCCACTACATTAAAAGCAGCAATTTTTTAATAGATAGTCTGCATTGACTAGAAATTATTTCATCTTATTGTATGCCTTACTTGAAACAGAATTCATCTGCATAGGGATGCAATACAACACCTAGGCACATGTTCAATTCCACTCTGTTACTTAAAATATTTGACAGTCCTTGGATTTTTTCGTTCTGATCTATCTCCAAAGTATGAATTTCCTGCCCAATTTGTTCCAAGAAATCTTCACTCTCACTCAATTCTCTGGAAGTTTTTCTTCAAAAAATCCAAACAGAACCTGACTAATCATTTGTTTATTTCTCTATTTTACTTTAAAACCTTACCTTTGTATATTGAGAATCACTAAACAATTTTTCTGTATCTTACAAATATTTATGAAAGAATGTAGCTCACTGAAGCACTGAAGCATGAGCTTTTTGCATCTTTAAAAGTTTAAGCAACATAAAACTCTTTACATGTTTGTGTGTATGGGGGGGTGTTTTACTTGTGCACATAGGATTATTCTACATTAGCAAATGATTCACTTGGGGATGGAAATTTGCCCTTCCTCAATTGCTACTGCAATATATGAATTCCAAACACAAATATGAAAGAATATCATTTTTGTTGCTAGTTATAGGCTCTTCTAGCTATCTGTTTGATGGTCTATCTTTCTCTTTGCCTCTATCATATTTATCTTTTTATTAACTGTGATGATAAGTTTTTTTGCCATTTTAACATACCCATTCTAAACTTAATCAGTATATACATATATACATATATGTACTGATCTATACATATATGTAGAGAGAGAGAGAGAGAAAATAAAAACTAGCAGGACTCCTAGCAATATAAAACACCTAGCACAATTCAGCAGTTCTTTTTTTTTTTTTTTTTTTTTTTTGGTCATTTTTTTTTCTCTATTGTATGCTGCAATATTTACTCCTGCTTAAATCTGTTAAAGATTCTGCATGTCAAGTCCCATGTGTACAATTCCAAAGGAAGGTTTATGCTCCACCAAAACAGTGGAAAAATGAGGGTGGTTAGGAAAACTGTTCCAAGTGATGTTTAATGTTACATTTATAGGAAAATACAAAGAAGAGTAAGTTTAAGAAGTTGATGGGCTCAGTTACTGTGTTTCACTTAATTATAATCTACTTGAGATGAAATGTTACTTTTTATTATTCAGTAGATTATTCTTCTGAAATAAATTATGCCATATATGTTTAATGTTTCCATTGAAGAAGCTGCTTGGTCTCTTCCAATATATTTTTTTTTCATTAGGGTAAAAATGAATTTGAGTCATTGGTCACAACAAAACATGAAAAGCATGGAATAATTTTTAGAAATCACAGCTTGTGTTTCCTAAGTATCAGAATTTATACCCATATTAAACTGCAACATTGTTTTCATCTCATCTTTAGCAAATGCAAGCACCTTTTAAAAGTGCTTCTATAACAAAACTTATTGTTTCCAGCATAGTCCTTTGCATCACTTGTAAGTGCAAAAATGTAATTTACTGTTACTTTAAATTTCCTTTGACATAGGTTGAACAGTGTAAATTGGATTTAGTGTAAGTATGAATAAGAATTAATTAATACTTTCAAGAAAATGATGACATTTCCATGGTCTTTGTGATCACATTTTTTGATACATGAAAAAGATGTTAAATTTTGGTTACATTTTGAAAAGATTGTTTTTGTTGTTTTTTTTAAGTCACAGTATCACTCTTTACATAGATACAAGTTTCATACAACTGTCCTCCACATTCACCTACATATTTAGCCATCACTTCTGACGCATGAAACCCTGCTACGTAATTCTGTTTTGAATCTGTAAACAATTGGCAAACTGTCCAGACTGCTGCTTTTGTATTTCTTCTCTAGATATGATTTGATCTGTCAAACTGCTCTGGACAACAGCTAAAGTTTTGTTCCCTTTGTCTGAATATAATTTGTGATATGCTGTATGTATTCAGATTTCTGTTTAGGGTTCTACAAATAATTTTGATGGAAGCCTATTAGTAAACAATTTCCCTTAGAGTGAAGAATAAAAAACAATGTTAAAATTGTAGACTGGGAGGTTATTTCAACATTTCAAAACCGCTTCTATTTACTGATTGAAGAAAGAGCCCACATTGTTGCAGGCTGTACCACAGAATAATTGACTGCAACAGGAGTTCTGCATCCCAAGCCAAAAATGAGGGCACATAATCGACGTCAAGGTCAATTATCTGGTACTAAAGTAGCCAACAAAAGGAGACTATTGTGATTAGAGAAATAAGCAGAACATTGTGAATTTGGAAGGGCTGGCAGTGAAGAGAGCATTTAGACTCTCTGTAAACGACCAGAAACATTGTTGGAGCATTGAGCATCACAGATCAATTCATTAAAAAAAGCACAGGAGAGGGAAATCAGCTATGCTGCAGTTGTTTCACTGCACTAATGCTATCTTTCATCTGTCAGTCCTTCATAGTTCTGCCTTCTGCCCTGAAGAACAGAGATAATACTGTAAAAAACCACAGTGTTCTTAAAATTGTGCCAGGATCTTTCTGTACCATATATTCCGAATAGTAAATCTATCCAATCTGTCTATGCAGTACTAGAAAGACTCATCCCAAACCATATATTTTTTAAAAAAAGATTATTTATCACAGTCCTATATGTAAGAAAAATCCTCATACCATCATGTAATGATACCATTCCTTTATGTCTGTTCCTAATCTAACAACAACTATTCCTGCACCTTTTATTGTTTTCCACTTTTCCCAACTCCTTATTCTACACTGGAATAATTTTTTGTGTTTTTCTTTTTGTTCTTGTTTTAATTTAGGGAATTGTCCTGGAGTTGTTATTAACTCTGAGTGGATTAGCATATTAGCAACTCACAAAAGGCATGAGTCAAACCTTTCCAGATAACAGGAGACAATTCCTTTTGAAGAATTCTACTGTCAGTTTATAATCAGAATTTAATTTATCAAGCTAAAGTTCCATTTTCAGAGACATATGTTTTTAATGTGATTTTATAGATTCACATCCTTACCTTCTAAATGTCATTAATAAGTGACTTAAACAGATTAGTAAATTTGTTGTCAAAGAGAACGCTCGTTGCAATGCACTGCAAACAATTACAAGAGTACTCACCCTACAGTAAAAAACTGCCTCATCTCCTGTCTTCGAGACCTCATCAGTTGTTTGTATTCACCAATACGCAATTTCTTTCCATCAACAATGCAGGTACGTTTTGGTCGAGGTTTGTATTTGTAATTAGGATACTTTTCTAGGTGGATTTTACTTAGCCGTGCCTGCTCTTCATAATAAGGTTGTTTTTCTTGATTTGACATAGACTTCCAGCGAGATCCTATTAACAAAAACATCAGTGAGTGGCCAGGTAAAGCAAGTGTAGTTTTACACATATGCATTTCAATGCATCTTCTTGCTATAATAAGTACATTTTAAATAAGTTAATTATATAAGCTGATTTGAATTTATATTAGCCAGCACTTGTATTTTAAGAGAGATCTTAAAAGAGCCTTGACTTTCAGATAGTGCTGCAAACCTAATATATATAAATCTATATTAAACAGATGTACTTAAAATCAATAGTCACTTCTCAAAATCTCATCCTTATGCTACAGAACAGATTTTTTCATATGAGCATTTATCTATGAGTAAATATATACCTTTGTATTAGTAGGCACAGTATGATGGCTCAGTGAGGTCTACAAGCATAATTTTAAGGCTTAACATATTGCCTGTGGATACTTGGTTTGATAATTTGATAGAGATGTGGGCTATACCCTAGTACTAACAGATATTAATACCTTTGTATTCAGCAGGATAAAATATGAGAACCTTACAGATTCGAGAATATTATGAAGAAATCCCTCTTTTTCTTTATTAAATTTACTAATCTTTTGATATAACCTTCCAACTACATGTCATAACTGGAAAGGACTATGGGAAAGTTACACTTAACTTTTTAAACATTTTTTTTAACAGTTACACTATATATATATATATATATATATTTTTTTTTTGGTGAAAGAAGAAAACGAAAGCATATTTGTAATTCTCTATCCCACTTCAGTTACTGTAAACCTTCATTGAAAGCTGCACCAATAAAACATACAAAATATAATACAGTGTTCACAGGAAGAGGATCTCTCATCTTGTTTATAAGAAACTATCTAAACATTTGAAGAGAGAAGGTGTTTGGTTTTTTTTTATGGGATAAAAAAAGTAGAAAGTAGCTTTTTTGGTGTCTTTTAGATGGATAAAATGATTACAGCTGTGTTAAACGTGGGTGGAAGCTATTCTTTTACCAAGATTTTTCATACATCAACAAATGGAAAAGTTGTATAAATATTATCCATAGCCAGCCATACTCTGTGTCAGTTCTAATATTTCATGTTTTTTTTCTTATTGTCCTGGAAAAGTTGCACAAATATTATATGGACATAGACTTATTTGTGGAAGAAAAAATAATGACAGGTTAATTCCATGGTTAACAAACACTCGATTGCTGGCACTTCTGAAATATTTATGCTGAAAGTTTACATTTTAATGAATACAGTTACTATACTCGTAATAGTTTTTTCACAGAATGCACACAAATAATATAGATTCCCTACAGCTGCCAACACTGAAACAGTGCAGGTTTTATACAAAACTGAAAGGCTATTCATATAACTTACTAATATGGTAGACAAAAATATGAGAACTACTAAGTAAGATTTTGAAAGTTTCAAGACAAAGTAACATTTATTTCTATATATGCTTGCCTCTAACAAACTTGAGTAAAAATGTATTTGAACTCAAAGTCTACAATAAAATGATTACAGATGAAATTTGATTTTTACTTTTATTTATTATGAGTTATATTTAAGATCTGTCTTCAACTTCAAAGACTCAAAGTTAAATACAGGTTTTCATGTTTCACCACTCATTCTCACGTATGTTTCTAATTCTCTGGAGAGGTCTCCAAAAGTAAATCAAAATTTCTCAAAAATGAGACAATTTATTTGCACAGTGCCGAAACAATCCATGGAGTATTCCCTAATTGTCCCAACCCATACAAATTGAATAAAACAACAGCATATTTTGATTAAGCAATATTTTACCTGTATGATACAAATGCTTCCTTAGCTTTTTGAACATGCTAATATTTTGCATTTGAGAAGAGATACATCTACATGTCCTTTAAACCAGGGTGTCTTGCTATTGCACTGCCTGACATAAACCTTCCATCATGATTTTGTTCTTTACTTCTTTTTTTGTTTTCCCAGTAGTTACTTCAGAAAGTACCATTTTACAGTCAGGTGATCTGTAGTTCAAGTGATTTCTAATGGAATCTTGCAATGAGACCTTTTGTCAGGATAGACTCTTGCAACATATTTCATAAAACATTCTTCACTAATGTTGCCAAATTAAAAGCAAATTACCAGTCTGCTGTTAAAATAAATAGAACTTGGGGACAGTGTTAAAAGGGAAAAGGAAATAAATGAAAACAAGTCGTGAGTTTTGATTTGTGTCATTTTCAGTAATTCCCATTTTAGTGAATCTAAAATCCCTGATTTAGTGAATCTACCTCCCTGACAAAGTATGTCCTAAAATCCGAGAAGTTGCATATCCAAGAAGGTAGCTACTAGCCTGCTTCACTAATACAAATAACCTCATCATTTCGCATCACCAGAAAAAATTTATGTCTGTCAATTGTCACTGCTATAGCACAGCATTCTGAGTTTTCCTTAAATTTGATTCACACACAGTCCCAAATTGTTCACTGTCTTGCACTTACCTAGGATTTTGCTAATGTTGGAGTTGTGCATGTCAGGAAAAGCTTGGAGAATTTTTCGGCGCTCATCCTTTGCCCAAACCATGAAAGCATTCATTGGTCGTTTGATGTGTGGTTCACTACTGGCTCGACCTCGCGAATCCCGGTAGACTCGAGCTTCAGCCACAGTGGCACCTCCTGTTGGCCAACAATAATACTGCTGTAGTTTAGCTGCAGAGCCATTCATTGCTTTACTTCCTGTAATGTCAGGGCAGGAAGAAACAAGATGGATGCAAAACATTATTATGTGGATTATGCAAGTGCTTTCAGTGCTGTGTTTATTTTAGCCCCATTCTCTTTCTCTCTCTGCTGCCAGATCTATGAAAGAGAAGGGTGTCCAGTGATTTCACTTGTAAACGGTCAGACTCACCCATTAACATCTGAATGAGAAAACAGAGCACACTATTATTTCTGCAGTTATGAGGTTTGAAAAAGTTTCAGTTTGGGATCTTAACATAGCATACATGTTCTGAATGCTCAAAAAAACTCACATAAAAGTTACACCTGAGAATCCAAACTGATGCAGACCTGTTCACACAAGTCACTTACAATGACTGCTGCTTACCAGAGAAGCACGTCCACATTTCAAAAAATAAATTATATACTATGCTGAGACACAAGCTACTGGTTGTATAGGTCTGATCACATTTGGAGCTGAACGTCTTAAAGTCACATCTGCTTCACTTGAATTTAAATGTGCCATGGAACATTCAATCACATATATGTAAGAAAATTCTTCGCTTTCAATAGGTACACCACACATAGCATAACAAAACTTGAGAAAACTGGTGGCAAGCACTGCAGCTTCTCCATGTGCAGTGGCTTTACCATACCCCAGTGTTCTGTAACTACCCACCCACATGCATGTAAACTGCAGTTTGGTTTTTGAATGCAGTCAGTCCTGCTGCTTGGCCACAAGAAGCAAAGCATCGTAAGAAATTCAGCATTCAAAGGATGGAGTGGGAGCTCTAGAACTAGTTAACACAGAAGAAAGAGCTAACAGCTTGTATAAGGCCTGATTTCCACAGAAAAACATCTGCATGATGATAATAACATATGTTTACAGAGCTAGACTTTACTACAACAGAAAGGTAAAAAGACCTTTCCCACAATAAGAAAGTGACATACATAATCTTAGGCCTCATCAAACTGGTCAGTAATTTAATTCCCTGAAAAGCAAGGTACTTAATAACAAATTAACACAGCAATACGTCTTCTTTTTTTATGTCTTTTTGTGTGTCTGTGTGTGTGCACGTCTGTGAACTATTACAGACTCAGACATTTATTTCATGTTTGCAAAAAAAAAAAAAAAAGATATTTCTTTACACTAAGTAGTGATGTACTAATTTCAGTGACTAACTTAAAAGATTTTAACTGTACAAAAACCAATTTACTATAAAAACACTATATCTCAGATACACTATTTAAAACTTTCTGTATAGGAAATCCATTTACATGAAAAAAGTCCTAAAATACAGGATGCATGACTAATACACTACCTTTTTGCCACCATGTCCACAGTACATTAATTTAATTTAAAATGCACTGACCATACAGGATAAATTCATTTTGCTTTACACAGTGTTGACAGCCATGTTTATTGTGCAGTGAAATGTAGTGTCGTTTCAAGCTGACTGTATCCATCAACACAGGGCAATATGCTGACTACTGGGCCAGATGAAGACATACATTACTCTGAGAGCAAAACATTCATATACAGCAGTATCTTCTCCTGAGGATCACCACGGTAATTTATGATGCCTCCAGTGCCATTACTTTATAACTGACACCAATTTGGCAATTTGTATACTAACATGCATGCATATAAAAGAAGTCAAGTTTGTGGCAAATGGAAGATGCAAAACTATTTTAATACTATTCTAAGATAAGGACCATGCAAAATGTGTTCAGTGCTTACAGAGGACTACAAATGCAGTTTTTTAGTGCAGAAAGAAACAGTAGTTTTGTTGAGTGACAGAAGATACGGATTTGCACCATTTCAGGAGTGTGTACAGTTCATGAGGCTTTGTTCTTTTTTTGTCAGATGGCTTGCAATGCGCATGTCAAAGATATCATCTTTTAAGAGACAGTCTACCTATTGTGAAACTATAATAGGTTATAAACATGTAAGTCAACACTGAAACATTTACTGAGATAAATGACTGCAAAATTTGAGAAAGATTCTATCACATACTGGTCATTCCATCTTTTAAAAAATACTGTAATATTTTAAATAGTATGTGGGCAATTAAGAAGTTGGTAATAAATCTAAAAATATATATTTTTTAAAATTAAAAAGTCATTTACTATTCAGCTTTTATACTCATAACAAAGAAGATGTATTTGAACTTGTAGGATGATTTTCCATCTTTGACTTTTTGAAAGGTAGTTATTCAGGGTGGCAAAGGAGTTTGTCTTTAGCCTTTTTTAACAAAGTTTTGGCATAACCTGGTAATGGAGGCACAGAGTATTTTTTCTAGGAGATTACTGGCTGATTTTTTAATCTGGATATAACTTAGGTAGGAAGAAAAAAAAACACATAAGCGAAGTATTTTAAGAGGAAGGTTATGTTACAAAATGATTCTTACTTAAAGTAATAAATTACAAACATCCCAAGAAGGCCAAGAAGTTCTGGCTGCATCTGCTTTAAGCAAGTCCACACTTGAAGGAGTTGAAAAAGCAGCCAAGAAGTTGATGTTCTCTGTACTTGATCTCTAGGGGAATATTTGCAAGTTGACCCATAGGCCATCACAAAAGCATCTGCAAAATGAATTTCTGCAAATAACTGAAATAGTATAATCTCTGTGTTCTTCTAAGTATCTCAAAGCTCCAGAATTATACTCAGTTTGTAAAGCTGAATTATATGAAAATACTTTTGTTAGCATGAGATTCCATGTGGGGAGCCAGAAATTCTCAGTATCTTCTAAGGTTAGAAATGAGGCACTAATGATATAAAAAGCACATATGCTGAGTGAGCTCTTTCAAGTTGAAACACATAAGAACAAGCTTTCAAACTGCACAGTTGTTCTGGGGTACTTCATTCTGTCATTCAGGTATTTAAACAGCATCATGTCCTACATAAACAACTTAAACAGACATTACAAAGTATGGGGTTTTTTCTTACTGTGGAAGTGATAATACTGACAGAGACAGAGATGCCTGAAATTTTTAAAAAATTATATATATGACTGTAAAGTTGTATGTGTTTCACACCTGTTCTTTTTGAAATGTATCCTGAGACAGTTAATAAATAATAATCCCAAAATACTAGATAAAGTAAAGGACATAGTACTAATGAAGGGTGAGAAGAGAGGACAACACTGGCAATTGTCTTTCTATGGCAACTAATGGCTACCTGATAGTTCTGCAGTCCGTACTGCAATTGTGGAAGGAGAATTTAAATTTCAGAATCAAGACTTTGGTTACGATTCAAAATTATTGCAAAAGCAGTACAGTTTGGCTGCCCTAATGGCTTAGTTGGCAAAGAAATCTACACTTTGGCCTAAAGACTCGAGCTATCCTCAAAGTGACACTTTTAGCTTCCAAGGGTGTGGACTGTCTTGCTTCCTAGTTCCCTTGCATTTATTCAACTTGTCGTGACTTAGATGATTTAAAGCTAAAATCAGATTAGACGAGAATGATCATTTCTTGTGGGTATATGGCAATCAATTCCACTGTGGGAGCTGGATTCCAGACTAGCATCTGGGAACAACATTGGGCCAAAGAACAGCATAGAATGAATCTAAAAATGTTACGGCTTCATTAAAGTAATTTCTAACAATATTTTTCTTCCAAAAGAGATTGACTGTTCTCTAGTGCATAGGCAAGAACAGCTTTTGAAAGGGAAAAGAATCTGCCCATCCACAAGGAAAAGGTAATCATTTTCCATGAATGAAATGCTAAGAAATACACAGTAACAATTGATACATTATTTATTTATTAATTCCTGCTTTTATCTTAGTTTCTCACCTTGTAAAATAACAAGAATTTTAGGAAAGGCACCATTTCCCTGAAATGTTGGCCACATAAGAGTTTATCCTCATGTACTTAACGGGATGGGATTTCACTCTCCATTTTCTATGTCACTTACCAAAACAAAACCTCAGGTCCAGCCTTTACTTCTTACCAGAATGCAAATAACGGTTACTGTGACAGAGAGGAGCAAAAGAGGTTGAGAAAAAGATGAAGAAAGATTGAGGAAAGAGACAGCAAAGAGACGGAGAGTTTCACCAGTCCCTCTGTTATTCTTTAATTACTCTTCACACTCTGGCCATTGATTCATATTTGAAATGACACATTTCCTTTGAATCCCCTCATATAATGAGTATTTGGCTACTCTAGAAAATATACTGCATACCATCTTTCATAAATACATATATACAGATAGGATATACAGAAATAAAGACAGTCTTCCTAGCTTCCTAATGTGAAAGTGATTGGTTAGCAGTAGAGCTCATATCATCAGTTATTCAGTAAGCTGAGATGATAGTTTTGTCTACTTTGGAAAGAACTGATCATGATCAGTTGGGCAGAGAATGGCTTGAGAGCAGCCATGAGGAGAAGGATTTGGGAGTGTCGAATGATAAAAGATTCAATATGAGCCAGTAATGTGTGCCTGCAGCACAGAACGCCAATCGTATCTTGGGTTGCATCTCGACCAGCAGGTTGAGAGAGGTGATTCTGCTCCTCTGCTCTGCTCTTGTGAGACCCTGCCTGGAGTACTTCATCCAGTTCAGCATAAGAAAGATACGGATTTGGTGGAGTGGGTCCAGAGAAGGGCCACGAAGATGATCAGAGGGCTGAAGCACCTCCCCTGCAAGGACAGGCTGAGAGAGATGAGGCTCTTCAACCTGGAGAAGAAAAGGCTCTGAGGAGACTATATAGAGGTCTACCAGTCTACCAGTAACTGAAGGGGGCCTACAGGAAAGAGGGACTTTTTATAAGGCAGAAAGCAATAGGATGAAGGGACATGGTTTTAAAGGGTAAGAGGGTAGATTTAGACTAGATATCAGAAAGAAATTCTTTACTGTGAAGATGGTGAGACACTGGAACAGGCTGCACAGCGAGGTTGTGGATGTCCCCCTCCCTGGAAGCATTCAAGGCCAGGCTGGACGGGGCTTTGAGCAACGTGCTCTAGAGAGAGGTGTCCGTGCCTATAAGTTGGAACTAGATGAGCTTAAGGGACCTTTCCAACCCAA